CACATAACTTAATGTAATAAGGCATAATACCAAATAGTTTTTCATATGCAGGAACCGTATTAAGAGACGGATTTGGCGTGAGATTAATTAGATAGGCAAGAGGTAAGAAATGCATGGAACCAAAATGGATGCGGTTTGACTCATGAGGGTTAAATATGTTTGAACAAATATGCTATGACGACATTTTGCAATATCATTATGTTGAGCACAGGGACGGATTCAGGATCAAACTACAAGGGGGGATAATACGTAAAAAAAAATAAAAATTACACATGAATTTTTTTTCCTAAGTCAAAAAAACTAAATCTGTCCCTGGTGGAGCAAGAGAACGAGATATTCCAGTATTTTGAAAGTGGCCAACTATTTGAAATTCTCCACCATTATCAGAACAAGATGATAGGGTGGCCAAAAAAAAAAATTCTCAAACTTGAGAAAAATAGTAACATGTGTTTGGTGTAGATTAAAATCTACTAAAAATCTCAAGTTAAAGTTAATAATTAATTTTAATCATACATTTCATGATCTATAAACTTTTCAACCACACATGTGATCAACTTTTATTAAAATTCACTAAAACTCTAATTTTAATCTACATCAAATATGGGCTAAATATGTCAGATTTTTGTTTCACTAGAAATAACCAATGTTTTAAAAAGCGTGAAGGGTGGCTAAGCAAGCTTTACGAGTTTAGACGAGACCTAAGCATAAAAAAATATTTTCTTATTTTTAATATTATTTTAAGTTATTAATCATTCTAAAAAAATTAAATAATGAAAATAATATATGTCAAACATCTAAAATTTTAAAATACTACATTTACTTAATAATTCCTATAATTAGACAATTATATAATTTCAAAGGAAAAACTTGAAATTAAAGTCAAAACAAAAGGCTTTTTAAAAAGTTAAAAAAATAAATTAATAAAACGCGCCTAGGAGTCGCGTCTAAGTGCACATTAAGCGGTCGACTTGACAGTTGATCACTTAGAGCCCGTTTGACATCCATTATTTGGAAGAATGAGTTTTTNTACAGCCCGTTTGACACCCATTATTTTGAAGAATGAGTTTTTGAATAGTGATTGATGTAAAGAATGTGTGGTTAAAAAGTAAGAAGAATTTTTGGGTTTATGTGTAATATTATTTTATTTGAAGAATGTATGGATAGAAATGAGTACTGTAGAAAAATGAGAATGAGATAAAAAATGGGTGTCAAACAGGGGCTTAATTTCTTGCACTTACGACCAAGGCATGATATTTCGTCCGCACCTCATGTCTAAACAATGCATAGGCGTCAGCGTCACCTAGGCGCACTTTTTAGAATACTAAAAATAATCACAAATATGCTTTGTATAATATTCAAATAAAAGTAAACAGTGTTAAGTCTGTCAGACGATTGAACCGGGGAAGGAGCCCAAACATCAAAGTAAATGAGTTCAAGTGATGAATTACTTGTAAGAGACTATGTTGAACATGGAAGCTTTTGCATTTTATTAAATTTGCAAGAATTAAAAGCTAGATTACGATTAATTAGGAAAATATATTTTGGAATATTAATTTTTTTAAGAATATGTGATTAAAAAATAAGAAAAAGTTTTGGGATTTACATATAATATTATTTTATTAAAGAATGTGTCGTTGATAAGAAGACGGAGAAAAATAAATTATTATTTTTATGGAGGCCAAAGCTCAATTAATAGAGAAAGGGCCATTAATAATCATGCTCTAGAGCTTAATCATCAATTAAATAATTAATTATTCTATATTTTGTCAAAGACAATATTGTCAGTTGATGGCTCATCTTACCATTTATTATCATGCGATGCACTTTTTTTCCCCATCCACGTGTAATTAATTAGCTTGAATATTATAGGATCATCGTACGACATGATGCGGTTCATTGAATCAACATGAATATTAGAATTTAAACTATTAAATAAAATAAAGAAAGTCGTGTAATAAATTAAGCTTAATGTACTTTTAAATGTTTCATAATTTAGATGAAAATTTTAATAAGGTACAATTTTTGGAGTATAATTAGTAAAATATTGGCATTTGTACATTTCTTGATCCACAATAAAGTTAAAGAGAACGTGTCGAATGATTCCATCTACCAATCCATGCTGTAACAATGTGTACGATGTTTAATATATCTTTTTTTTGGCAAATAGGTATCTTTAAATTATGAATTAAGATATAGAAAAATATAATTTCAAGCCCGAAGAAATAAATAAATATTTAAAGTACATATTTAGAGTACATATTTGTTATGCAATATCAAATAGAAGTATCAGATGTAATATATAACATCATTCACAAAAATTTAAAAATAAAAATTGGACTTCTTTATCATTGCGCTACCGAAGGGCCAATGACAGAGTGTTCTGTGATTTTCAATTATAAGTGATAAACAACGTCTCGAAGAGTATATTTAACAATTTGAAATGTTTCTATACATTTAGAGAGAATTTTTTTTTTTAAGTACTCCAACAGACATTTTATCATTAATAATTAATTTTCTTACTCCCAAAAAATATTTATTGTTTTTTCTAGCTTTTGTTTTCATTAGCTTTACTTCAAATTATTATATTTATTTCCTCCATGGAAAATTGAAATAGTTTGACTACATTTAATTATAAAAAATGAGTTTTACTCTTCAAATTTGGAGAGTCAAATTTACTTTATATTTAAAATATTATAATAGGGTATGTTTGATAGATATTATTGAGAAAATAATGTATTTTAAATAATGATATGATGAGAAATATGTGGTTAAAAAGTAAGGAAAAAAATATTGATATAATGCAAAATATTATTTTATTGAATAATGTATGGTTGAAAATGAATTTCGAAAGAATGTATGTCAAACAGGGGTTTAAAGAGTTTTTTGGAATATAATTTTATGGTCGGCTCTTTAAAATAGAAATGATTTTATATTTAGAAAATCTTTTGAAGGTAATCTAATACTTGAAAAAGATTATTATAGAATTATTGTTTAATCGCCACGTGTCCTATAGAATCACCCTTAAATTAAACATTAGAAAATAAAAATAAAAATAAATCCTCTACCATGTGAAGTTCTTTTCACCCTTTACTCTAGAATCCACACCTTTTTAATTCCATCAAAATCCTTATCCCACTTTTCGTAAGAGGGAAAGGAAAAATAAAGATGGAAAATATAATTAAATTAAGAGAAAGGAAAGATAAAGGGAAAATAATCGTGCTTTTATCTTCTCGAAACATAGTCTCGATCGAATGCTTACACTACTGTTCTAAAATATTTTTATGAGTTTTGCAAGCATTCTTTTACATTGACCCGATTCTCAATTTGTTCGACAAGAATGTTACCTTATATTGACCCTATTCGTGATTGTTAATATGTATGTCCGAATAGTATTTACTCTTGTGTGTGAGGTGGGGTATAAGAAGAAATAAACTAAAATAATATGAGATAATTGTTTAGTTGCGTGTAAATTTAAAGAATTTTGTGACCATTGTTTTTCGGATAATCAACATTTTAATTGTAACAAAGGTCCCTAATTTCTTACGTATATTCACAAATTTTTTATCACATTTTTCTTTAATCATTAATTATTTACTACATCTCGTCTCTGATAATATTTTCTATCTAATTTTTTTTTTGCTAGTGTGGGAAAAATATTTATTTTTTTTAGTGAAATAATCACAAAATTTACCTCCACGAAAATGA